ACTGTAAGTCAGAGTCTGATGCTGGTCTATATTTCATTCTCTCTTCTCTCTCCCCTCCTCCTTCTCCCTCTTCCCTCTCTTCTCTCCTTCCTCTCCTCTCTCGTACGGTTCTGTGCAGGGTGGGTTTGAGCTCAGCCCTGTGCTTGTTAAGCTAGCACTAAAAGGCCTCCAGACTTGTTTTCCACTAGACGTTTGTATGAGGCTTTGCAGCCTCCCCAAGGCTGAGCCGCAGGCCACCTACTTCCGGCTTCCGTGGCGGCTAGGAGCCAGGCGTGGCCCGCACCAGCTTCCCCCCAGGGAAATTGAGTCGGAAGACTTTCCAGACTGAGGCTAGAGCCAGTCCTCATCCCAGCTCCCCGTGCAGCTAGGAAGGCTTGCACACCACATAGCCCTGGGCTTCTCCTGAGCAGGCTGGCCTTGAACTGGAATCCTTCTGACCTCAGCCTCCCAAGTAATGGGCTACAGACTGAGGCCCTGGTGCCCACTTAGATACTCATTTCTGAGGCCAATCCAATGCTGGTTTAGAAAGCAGCTACCTTTAAGGCTCTGAGGCACTTGGGGGCTGCGGCAGTTCCAGCTCATACCGTTTGTTCACGCCGGGCCCTCACCTGGAGGTGGAGGAGAAGCATCTGACAGAGACTGCAGGGAAATCTTCAGACTGGTTGCATCATCAGAGCATAAATTGCTCATAAAACCTGACTCAGAGGAGATGGTTCAGCTCTGTAATTACTTGATAAAGCTCCCCTGAGGATTAAGATCACCCGAGTTATAGCAATAAAACGGAGGTGAGTCTCTGCTGAGGTCACCCAGGCCCAGCCACGGGGGACTCTGAGCTCTGGGCTCTGTCTCATTATCTGGGGGTAGCAGGATCAGAACATCCAGAATTTCCATCTCAGTGTGACAGCTCTGCCATTCCCTGGAGAACTGCTGTCACCCACTAAGACTGACTCTGCCATAATCCAATTGTGGGGTTCTGCTAGAGGGTGAGGTTCAGAGTCTGAGCCTGGAGCTCTGCTGAGTGGGGGGTTTCCAAAGCCCAAGCAGGAAGATGAAGGGTTTTGACGTCCCTGTGGCCGTCTATCTAAACAGCCCTGCCCCCAGCTCACACACACATGAACGTTAGCTTCATGAAAAGCGTGCTCTGGGATAGAACACCAGGCACTCAATAGAGACCAGCCACGCTTGAAACTTCATGGCTGGAATGCTCATTTCGTGGAGCTTTTGTAGCATATTTTAATCCTGTCTGGCACAGGAAATTCTGATCTATTTGCCAAAGCCCTTGTCTGCGTGTGACTCATTTCATTATTAGCCTCAGAGAAGCCATAACTAGGAAGACAACTTGGGTGAAAGTGAGGAGCCAGAGCTCCCCGAGCGGCCCCAGTTCCAGGCAAGGCCTCACTTCTGAACCCGCTCCACACTGGTAACTTGAGGCTGCCTGTGGCCTGTAAGTCTAGGGCCACACCTGCCATCTTTACAGCCATTCCCTTCTCCCTGCTGTCAGCTGCAAGATGTTGATCTCAGGGAAAAGCCAACTCATGCTGTGCCTGTGTTTCCAGATTCCTTCAACAAACAAGCTCCTGTTCCTTGGCATTATAACACAGCTACCACCTGTGCTGGGCTTAGAAATGGAGCCTGCAGGGTGTCCCAGTGATGGAATTCGTGTGTGTGTGTGTGTGTGTGTGTGTGTGTGTGTGCTGGTTCTCCACTTGAACTCAGGGCCTGAGCACTGTCTGACCAGTTTTGCTCAAGGCTAGCACTCTACCACTTGAGTCACAGCTCCACTTTGAGCTTTTTCATGGTTAACTGGAGATTAGATTAGAATCTTCCTGCCCAGGCTTGACTTGGAACCACAATCCTCAGATCTTAGCCTTCTGGGAGCTAGGATTACAGGCTTGTTGGAGTTCTTACGGGGGTGCAGGGAGGCCCAGGCAGCCCTGCCAGCCTCACCTGTCAGATGAGCCACTGGGCTCTGAAGGCTTGGGCCCTGGCCCAGGACGGTGGGCTCTGAAGGCTTGGGCCCTGGCCCAGGACGGTGGAGGGCCCCATGATGTCACGCTGGCCCATCACGGCAGAGTGGCTCCCCTGCGCGCCGGCCCCAGGCAGCGAAGGACCTCCCTCCACAGCCTGTTCCCACTGCATGGATCCACTGGGTAGCCATGGGAAGTTGTCCGTCTCCCTTCCGTCTTCCCCCGGCGGCGCATTGGGAAGACTCGTATCGAGGTGAGGCTGACCCTCAGCCACACGGCGGAGCAGGTGCAGGTGGGGAGTGGGGAGTGGAAGGCGGGTGGGGGCAGCCCGCCCGGGACCCAGCCTGAGCCTCCGCACCCATGGCAAGGGGAGGGAGGCCCAGGGCCCCGCGCCTCGGTGTGGGCAGCAGAGAGGAGCTGCGGGACTTTCTTGTGCGGCTCACCAGGGCCAACGACGCCTTCCTTCTGATGCCCCAGGACCCAGTGAAGAGTTCGAAGTCTGGGGAACAGAACTCCTGCCTGGCCGTGGCTGCTTCCTGATCCAACTCTCACGGGTCCTCTCGTATCTAAGTTGATCCGATCAGCTGCCCGGGCCCAGAGACCCTGTGTGTGAGACCCACCATAGGCACAGGGGTACACGGTACTCCTGCTGTCATCCACGGGTGCTGCCAGGGGTGCGGCATAAAGCGCTGCTAACGCTCCGTTAGATGAGGATCACCTCGCTCCCGGGAGCTGGGCAGGGCCCAGGGGCCAGGCGCTGCTAACGCTCCGTTAGATGAGGATCACCTCGCTCCCGGGAGCTGGGCAGGGCCCAGGGGCCAGGCGCTGCTAACGCTCCTTAGATGAGGATCACCTCGCTCCCGGGAGCTGGGCAGGGCCCAGGGGCCAGGCGCTGCTAACGCTCCTTAGATGAGGATCACCTCACTCCCGGGAGCTGGGCAGGGCCCAGGGGCCAGGCGCTGCTAACGCTCCGTTAGATGAGGATCACCTCGCTCCCGGGAGCTGGGCAGGGCCCAGGGGCCAGGCGCTGCTAACGCTCCTTAGATGAGGATCACCTCGCTCCCGGGAGCTGGGCAGCGGCCCAGGGGCCAGGCGCTGCTAACGCTCCTTAGATGAGGATCACCTCGCTCCCGGGAGCTGGGCAGGGCCCAGGGGCCAGGCGCTGCTAACGCTCCTTAGATGAGGATCACCTCGCTCCCGGGAGCTGGGCAGGGCCCAGGGGCCAGGCGCTGCTAACGCTCCTTAGATGAGGATCACCTCGCTCCCGGGAGCTGGGCAGCGGCCCAGGGGCCAGGCGCTGCTAACGCTCCTTAGATGAGGATCACCTCGCTCCCGGGAGCTGGGCAGGGCCCAGGGGCCAGGCGCTGCTAACGCTCCTTAGATGAGGATCACCTCGCTCCCGGGAGCTGGGCAGCGGCCCAGGGGCCAGGCGCTGCTAACGCTCCTTAGATGAGGATCACCTCGCTCCCGGGAGCTGGGCAGGGCCCAGGGGCCAGTCGCTGCTAACGCTCCTTAGATGAGGATCACCTCGCTCCCGGGAGCTGGGCAGCGGCCCAGGGGCCAGGCGCTGCTAACGCTCCTTAGATGAGGATCACCTCGCTCCCGGGAGCTGGGCAGGGCCCAGGGGCCAGGCGCTGCTAACGCTCCTTAGATGAGGATCACCTCGCTCCCGGGAGCTGGGCAGCGGCCCAGGGGCCAGGCGCTGCTAACGCTCCTTAGATGAGGATCACCTCGCTCCCGGGAGCTGGGCAGCGGCCCAGGGGCCAGGCGCGTGCTCTGATCTTGTTTGATGGCCTTGTTCTCTTCCTGTCTTCTTGCTGCCCTTTGGGGCTATGTTTATCTTTATAATAAGGAAAATGATCTGTAGTAATTGTCTAAAAGACTCTGTCTCTCTTCAGAGAGTGAGTGACACGTGGTGACCAGCCTGCTGGGGTTTGGGATATCTGCTGGTCCTAGGCAGAAAACAAAGATGTTTTCTATGATTGCTACACTCAGCTCCAAATCCTTCTTTTTTCACTTACAAAAACTTTTTCCATATAAGATCCACAACTGAGCACCAGCATTTCCTACAAGTCCATGTACCTCATTCCTTCAGATCAGCATTAGATGTAGACAATTCCCACTATGCTTTTTGAGTCGTGGGAGGAAAAGTGAGCTGTGAAAGGGTGGACAGCTAGCCTAGCTGAGCGGACCAGCAGAGAAGCCTTCCACTGTGGCCGGTATCACACAAAATGCTGGAGATGCGCGCCGGTGGGAGCCGGGGCTCTGATAGTGTGGGGAGAGGGGGCTCCGCAAGCACTTGAGGTTGAGCATGGCACTCCGAAATAAAGAGGCGTGAGTAAGACTTCATGCCCACTTTCCCTGCCTCACGCAGATTTCCACCAGCACACGGCCAGTTAAACGGCACGGCGTACGTGTGGCGGTCACACCAGCCTCCCAGCCCTGTCTTGGATGACCTTGTGCCTCTGCCCGCTTCCCAGCCTGCAGCCGGAGCTGGTCCTCCACGGCCGCGCTTCCCCACAGAGCAGGCTGCTTCACCGCGGCCCGGCCAGCCGGCAGGCCTCGGCTGGGCTCGGCTCTCACACTGCCCCCTGCTGGGGGCTCTGCGCATGCGGGGTCCTCCTGAGAGGCTCAGGAGCCTGGGGCTCTCCTCTGTCTTGGCTAAGTACGACTGCGAGAATCAGCCATTCAAAGCAGTCGCTGCAAACATCTGTTCCAGAGGCTGAAGAAAGGAAGTCCGTGAACCCTTAGACAGCGCTGTGATGGGGGGTTGGGGGGGATGAGAACAGCGCTGTGCCCTTGGAAGCGATGCTTGCTGCTCCCCTGTGTGGCCTCTGGGTTAGTTCAGGAGCCAGCAGCTCATGATGACGGTCTTAAGGGGCCTCAGGTTCTTGGGCCCGTCCGCAGACTCCACCCGGCTGCGGACGGGTGCGTGGGGCGCGCTGTCCCCGCGCGGCCCGTGCTGTTGTGGGAAGCGCCCCGCGAGAGCCACTTTTCCCTTTCTCCTCCTCTCTGTCTTCTCTCTGCCTGCAGATGAGCATCCGGTGAGCTGTCACAGCTCTCGCGTCGGGCAGGACCCAGAGAAGGATGACAACAACAACGACGAGTACGAGAACTACGACGAGCTGGTGGCCAAGTCCCTGCTGAACCTGGGCAAGATCGCCGAGGACGCGGCGCACCGGGCCAGGACCGAGTCGGAGATGAACAGCAGCACCTCCAACAGCCTGGGGGGCGACAGCGACAAGAACGACAGCCTGGGGCGGAAGGGCGAGCTGAGCCTGGACCTGGACAGCGACGTGGTGCGCGAGACCGTGGACTCGCTGAAGCTGCTGGCCCAGGGCCACGGGGTGGTGCTCTCGGAAAGCCTGGGCGAGCGCAGCTATGCGGACGGCGCGGCCCCGCAGGACGGCAGGAGTCTGAACTACGCCATGCTGGGGAAGCCCATGAGCAACGGGCTGATGGAGAAGGTGGTGGAGGAGAGCGACGAGGAGGTGTGTCTGAGCAGCCTGGAGTGCCTGCGGAATCAGTGCTTCGACCTGGCCAGGAAGCTCAGCGAGACCAACCCGCAGGACCGGGGCCAGCCGGCCGGCGCCAGCCTGCGCCAGCACGGGCGGCCTGAGGATGACTTCCCGGGGAGGACGCCAGACCGCAGCTACTCAGACATGATGAACCTCATGCGGCTGGAGGAGCAGCTCAGCCCCCGGTCTAGAACGTTCTCCAGCTGTGCGAAGGAGGACGGGTGTCCGGACAGGGAGGATGACACGGCCTCCGTGAACTCCGACCGGTCTGAGGAGGTGTTTGACATGACCAAGGGCAACCTGACCCTGCTGGAGAAGGCCATTGCCCTGGAAACGGAGCGGGCCAAGGCCATGCGGGAGAAGATGGCCCTGGACGCCGGGCGGAGGGACGCCATGAGACCCTTTGAGGACCAGTCTCCACGCCAGCCGTCTGGGGAGGACAGGAGGCCCAAGTCCAGTGACAGTCATGTCAAAAAGCCATACTATGGTAAAGGTAATATTTCTACCTAACGTAAGTTGCCTCGTGAGCACATGAGCTAAGCGCGGCAGAGAATGCCTGCAGTACCAGCCACACCGAGTTTTCTCCCTAATGCACACTTTGACAGTCTATGCCACAGCTCTAGTCGGTGACAGCATCCCAGGAGAGCAAGTGAAACCTGTGTGGAGATACACACGAGGCAGCGCTCTGTGCTGTTGGTAGAGCAGACGCACCACAGGACACTCAGTGGGAGGAGGCAGGCCAAAGCACCCGCACACTCATGTTAGAGGGCAGCAGGGCAGCCTGGGCTGCCTCGGGCCGAGAGCCCTGTTCAATGACGGAAGTCCTGTAGCCATTAGCTAACCAGAGGTGAGGCGCGCACACCTGATAAACTGGATTAGATAGGTGGCCGTGTGATTTATAAAATTATCACCCAGCGACAGTTCTTGGTGAAACTGCCCCCATGGAAAACACCCCTGATAGAAACCGAACCGCAGGATGAGCAATGGCTTCAGATAAGGTCAGCACCGCACATTCATTATCGCAGACAGTCAGGGAACGGAAACCATTTGCTATGCAAGCCACGGCATGGGCTCGGCTGAAATCCATAGCAGTTTCTTTAGTGTACCCCTCCCCCCACAGACCCCTTTGCACGGTAGAAGCCGGTATCTTCCTTCCTCAAATATCGCTTGTTATGGGACACTCAAAACTACCCAACATGATCGCTTCGGCTGAGTTTTGTTCTGCAAGGCATACGGGCATGTAGCTGTATCCATCTACAGAATTAACTACACACACATACATTATACACATCTGCAGTAAGTGTAACATGCGTGGATGTCCAACCTGAACCAAGGACCCTGGGTTTCTTGAGGCCTCCGCTTCAGGTAGAAGCGTGGCATCGTATGTATCTCATGCACAAGATGCCTTTGGAACTCAGTAAGGAAAAGTTTTAAGAATGAAATTGGTAACTTCTTAAATCTTTCTATATTTGCACCAAAAATGTTCCTTTCTTCTGTCTTGCGTTTAATTCTGTGAATTATGAATACTGAGTTTTCTCTCTGTGGATCTCATAACAAGACTCAGGAATTTAGTTTGAAAATCAGTTGCTATAGAAAGTTCAAAGGACCAGAAAAAAAAAAAGGCATCATTTCGATGGGGGCACAGGTGTGCATTCTCCTCTGGATGTGCACGTAGCTCTGTGGCCCACTAGAAAACCCATGACCACATCCAAGCAGGAGACAAGCCTGCGCCAGAGCACACGGCTCCCGGCTGGCCAGTGTGTGGGCGCGGGAGACACAAAGTCTAGAGCCCTGGAGGTGTGGGGTGTGAGGCAGGGGTGTGTGTCCTGGCCCGGCGAAGCTTCAGGCTTGCTAGGGGCCTTGGGAAGACTGTAAACATAGCATCCATGCACTGAATTGTGGAGCTATCATTGTGAGTAAGATTGGCTCAAACCATCCATTGGAAGTTTCTAGTTGGATTTTTGAGAATCATGCAGGAGCCAAGCACTTCAAGGAAGGAGTAGTGCCTTTTGTCTCGCGCCCGCAGTGGTTGCTGTTAGATGAGCACGTGTTAGCTTCTGCTTTGGAATCACAGACAGTGCTGTCTCTCCGGTCAGTGCTGAGAGTTTGTGCATGGGGAGGACCCTGCAGAGCCTGTGTGGCCTCCGCTTCCTTGGTCTCTGTTGGTCTCCAAATTCAGCAAATTCTGACAGCTTTTTGTTCTAGTGTTATTTTGCAAGCAATGGCATTTAAACCGTTTGTCTCCCCTTTGTAAATAAGTGGGGACAGGGATGAGGAGTAACGTTAAAAAGTGAGGGGGAGCAGCCCTGCCCTGCTGGCGTGGGGCGGGGCGGGAGGAATGCTCCCACAGCTGGAAAGCACTGGCACGTGCCTCGTCCGCTCTGTCTCCATCTTCTGCCACTGACAAGAGCAGTTGATCTGTCTTCTATCAGTATTTTCCACGTCTTCCCAAGTGTCTTTTGCATGGGTCTGTAGCTATATCAGGGCCAAATAGAGTCCAGCAAAGTAAACGGATGCAGATTCCTTAAAAACGACCCAGTCACGGGATCCCCTCTGCGCTGAACGGCAGCGACCATGACTCACACACATGCACACACACGCACATGTGCACACAGTCGAAAGTGTCACCAGCCTCTGCTCCTACAGCAGAGATCAGACAGCACCTTCCACATCACCCTTTGCCACAGTCCTCAAAGATAGTGCAAATCTGGATGGAAATTTCCAGAGGTTTTAGCTGCTAAGAAAAGACACCCTGTGCCTTTTCCACCCAGGAGCACAAGCCAAATCCAGCGCACCTTTTGTTCCTATAGGTTGTGACAGGCTTTTGTTAAACGTTGGTCTCCTGTGTGCTTAGTTGTTTTGTGTTCCTTTAAAGACTAAGTGGAATCTGAACAGATAAGAGATGGAGATGAGCAGACGGGCAGCCGGGCCTCGCCCACCGGGAGGAGATCATGACCTGTTGTCTTCCAAAGCCAGAAGCACTTTTGAGCCACATGGCTTTTTGTGGAAATTTGTACTTAATTCCAAAGCACTTTGAAAATAATTTGCGAGAATTCATAAGGATCCTGTTAAAGGCAATCACTTAATGATTAAAAATTAATGATTAATCATGGTCTCTTAGAGCCAGTTAAAATTCTCTTCTCCAGCTTATGATTCTAAATAATCCTTTCCTTTGGAACCATTACTATTTTATAGTCATATTGATTAAATCTCACAAATATGATTATGAAATCACTGTAAGGCAGCAAAATGCTGGCTAGTTAGTTCGCATGTGTGCCATAGTAGAAACCGAGGCATGGCCACGTAGTATCAGGCTTGTCTGCAGAGGCTGTGAAGCCAGCGTGCGGGACAGAAGCCAATGCTGCCTCGCTAGACAGGCTCAGCCTGGACGGCTGCACCATGCAGGACGGACCAGCAGCCGGATCCCAGCCTTGCTGTGAGCACCACAGCACTGGCAGGTGCCAGGAGTCATACACCAAGCCCCAGGGCTCATAAGTGACTAAGAGCAAAGCCCAAGAGGCACAAAATTCAAAATCAAGAATGCTTTTCCTTGAAATAAGTGAACTGTTAACAATTGTTAACAATTCTAACCATCACGATTGGCCAGGTTGATGCAGTATCCATGTAAAAGATTAAATTGCTGAAAATTGAACTGCCATTCCCCAGACCAAACCATGACAGCCACTCTGCATTGGTGATCTGAGCAACTGGTTTTCAAAAGCAACCTCACACGCAGACATAGCGTTTGGTCCGCATCAGGGCTATTCTCTGGAGCTGTTGTACTGCATGATTGTGAACTGTGCGGTCAATTCTGGGTGTAGAAATGATTTTATTAGCAATATCGTCACATTTCTGGCATCTAGCATTCAATTCTGGACCAAACGTCTGCTCTGACTGGCCCTTGACCTGCACCGCGGGGGGCTCCCAGGCTCTAGGCAAGCATTTCCTCTTAATTTTGTGCATGCACGCACAGCGTACACGGGCCTTCCTCTGGTTCACAGTACAGACGAAGAAATCAAAACCAATGGCTGCTCTGGCGGCTTCTGAAGCATTTTTGATTACCACCACCTCTGCCAGGTGGGATTTCCACCCTTTTGGTCATTTGCTTACAGTGCCTTCTGAGAGTTCAGTTCACTTACAAAAACGAAAACGAAACGTGCTGAATGGCTGCGCTGAGAAACAGCGGGCTTGATGTCAATGCCAGGCAAATTCCGTGGCTGATATCGGAGGCGGCCAGAGCTCTGCATCAGAAGGAACTCAGCGCAAGGGTTTTTGAGCAGATCTCACCCTCTGGTTGAATCTCACCAGCAATTGCTGACTGACAGTGGCGTGGAGTTTGTTCTCTAAGAAGGCAACTGTCTCATCACTATTTCTATTGATTTCTTTGAGCAACACAGCTTATTATCATGTAACACACGGGAAATCAATTAATCAAGAGGGAAGGTCAGGGATAGGCTTTTCTTTTTCTTTCGGATAAAAGCGGAAGCTCTTTCTGATTCGTGACTCCGTTGTGTAAGGGAGCAGATGGCCCACGTGCCGAGGACACCCAGGCAACAGTCCGCCGACCCATCCGGCCCTGACTCCTGCTTTATTTCCTTGTTTAGCCACGGTCTCTTCAGATTGCTGAATAACCACATTTGTCTTCGGTTGGTAAACACTCATTCTCTCGGCACCTGTTGTCACTTTTAGATCCCTCAAGAACAGAAAAGAAAGAGAGCAAGTGTCCAACCCCCGGCTGTGATGGAACCGGCCATGTAACTGGGCTTTATCCGCATCACCGCAGTCTATCCGGATGCCCGCACAAAGATAGGGTCCCTCCAGAAAGTAAGTCCACACCTCGCCGCTCCCCAGCGTGCAAGCCCTGGCTCTGTCTGTCACTCCCAACCTCATCTCCATCGCACTTCACGGTGCAGCCGTAGCTGGTCAGGCCCCTGGTCCTGGCAGGCAGGCCCCAGGACACGGCAGGCTCTGAGTCCTTCTCCCAGAGCCCCCGATTTCTGGGTACCTCTGCCCGCTCCACCCCCCCTGGAGAGTAGTGCCGCCCTGCAGCCCCTCTCTGGAAGGAGGTTCTGGTCCTGACCTCAGTTCAACTCCCTCCATGACCTCAGGAAGGTCATCTCCCTGCTACTCGTCACCAAGTACAGAAGTGAATGAGACCGTCTCCCCCTCCCCCTCTGTCTCTCTCTCTCTCTGTCTCTCTGTCTCTTTTTCTGTCTCTCTCTCTTTCTCTCCCCCCCTCTCTCTATCTCTCAGATACCCCATCCAATGTAGACTCTCAGGGGAAGGGGCCTTGAGGTACCTCCTGCCAGACACCAGACTTCTCCGCATCGTCCAAACAGCACTGAGGGCAGAGGTGTTGTGCATATTTCTGGTAGAGCCAGTTTCCTATCAGTCACCCTGGTATTTCCACACTAGAGAATCTTAAGTAAGCAGGTTCAAGTCAGGTGGGTTTTGATTTTATGCACTTTTGGATGGATAGGGTCTGGTAGTACAGGAAAAAAAAATCTGTAGAAAAAAAATTAATTTCTTTCCAGAACTGGGTTGACATACACCTCTTTTGGTTGATCTCTCTTGTGGCGGTCAAGTGTGCCATCCACGTAACGTTGATCAGAATCTGCTCTTCGGGGCACAGGAGCATTTTCAGAAAGGAATGGGTCTCCGAGCCCGACTTCAAGCCTCGCGCACACAGAGTGAGTTCCTCTGCAGTTTCAGGGAGGACGCTGACCTGCCAACCGAGGAGTACTGAGTGACCCCGTAGAAATGATACATGAAATCCTTGCAGAGCAAATCTGTCAGAGGAGGTACTGGAGCTCAGGAAGCAGGCGAGTGAGCCTTTGTAGGCGCTCTTGTGGCTACAAGGGTTTGCAAATGTCTACTAAAAATAATAAGCTCATGTTTCTCTTAACTCTTGAGAACAAGCACAAACGTGGTGCAAATGAACAAATTCAGGAGTGAGAACAATCCCGTGTGTTACATGACAGGGAGAAGCATGGTGTACGACACGGCCCACACACAGGGGCCGGGCTTGGCTCGCACTAATTCATCCGATGCCCAGAATCAACCCCCACCGGAAGTGTTGGCCGTGGTTTTCAGACAACGAGACGGGACTGGGAGGCTGCCCCTCCCTCTCCTGGGGTCAGCGCAGAGGCTTGCAGCTGAGGGGCGCAGTACTGGGATGAGCCGCCCAGACAGCAGCCACCTGCCGCGAGCGAGTAGTGGGGCTGGGCCTGTGGCCAGGAAAGCGGGGCTTCGGTTCCTCAGCCCCAGCCAGTGTGGCCCGGGCTTCTCTCCCGTTCCCCAGCCAGTGTGGCCCGGGCTTCTCTCCCGTTCCCCAGACAGCACGAAGCCTTAGAGCTGAGAGCCAAAGCTTAGGGGGAGAGGTCCTACCTGTGAGTCATCTTCAGGGCCCGGATGGGCCGCCTTCAAGGCAGAGTTGGACCCTCACTAGAAACGAGAAATGTTCCTGATCCACATGTGCCTAGAACAGTCTAGATGACCTAAGAGGAACACGGACCGGGCTCTGACAGGCTGAGCACTGCACATTCCTGAGTATCCTGAGGATTTGCTCCTCAGTTCTTTATAGTACCACAAAAATGTTCTTAGCAGTGGAAAGACTCCATCCCGGCATTGTTGTATTTTTCCGGACTAGCTGCTCTGGCCGCTGTTTCTGTGCCCTGGAGTCTGTGCTGCACTGGGCCTGCAGAGGGCACCACAGGCAGCGGAGCCCTGCCCCCCGCCCCCGCCCTGCCCCCCCTGCCCTGCCCCCCGCCCCCATACCCCTCCCCCGCCCCCCCCCCCCGTCCCCCCTTCCACCCTGCCCCCGCCCCCGCCCTGTCCCCCCTGCCCTGCCTCCCCTGCCCCCCCACCCCTGTACCCCTCCGCCGCCCCAGCCCGGCCTCCGTCCTGGCAGCCCCCACCCTGCTGCACACACTGGATACTGCACACAGCTTCCAGGTCACGGTGACCAGGACCTTGGAGTCCCTGAGGCAGTGTAGCAGCTGCATGTCGCATAGAACGGGGCCACCGCACTTCCTGGAGGCTAATGGCAGAGTCCACACAAAACCAGGACACAGAGGAGGGAGAGACAGAGACAAGAGAGACAGACAAGATGGGGGGACAGCCCAGAGACCAGCTGGCCGGACGCGGGGCCACAGCACACAGGACAGCAGGCATGAGGGCACAGCGCCCATGGCTCTGTTAGGGGGAGGGCCGCAGGCCGGGCTGAGAGCAGGGAGAGGACCTGGGATGCGCTTTGCCTTTAACTGGCTCTGCGATGCTCCCAGCAGGCTTTGGGCGTGCTGGTCAGGAGAGCTGAGGGCTGGGCATTGTGGGAAACTGACTGAATGGCCTGAGAAAAGGCACAAAGCAGGAGGTTAAAAAGCCAAGTATGGGAAGCTTGCCCCCAAGGATGCAGAGGCAGGAAGATGAGAAAGAGAAGCTGGAAGGCCAAGGGCAGAAGAACCAGAAAACCAGGAGGGGAGGGTGTCTCTGCAAAAGCCCCAGGTCTGGAGGCCACACTTAGGTTTCAAGGGGGCCCAAGAGGAAAGGCTGCAGTTCTAGAGACCTGGGGAGGAGCATGGCGAGGTCTGCAGCAGCACTGTGAAAGCAGGGGACACAGGTCAGATACCAGTCAGCTCAAGAGAAGGAGCGGCAGGAGAAGAGCAGACCCCAGAGGCAGTGTGCAGACCCCAGAGCCAATGTGCAGACCCCAGGGCCAGTGTGCAGACCCCAGGGCCAGTGTGCATACCGGTGTGCAGGCTCCAGAGCCAGTGTGCAGACCCCAGAGCCAGTGTGCACACCAGTGTGCAGGCTCCAGAGCCAGTGTGCAGACCCCAGAGGCAGTGTGCAGACCCCAGAGGCAGTGTGCAGACCCCAGAGGCAGTGTGCAGACCCCAGAGCCAGTGTGCAGACCCCAGAGCCAGTGTGCAGACCCCAGAGCCAGTGTGCAGACCCTAGGGCCAGTGTGCAGACCCCAAGGCCAGTGTGCAGACTTCAGAGGCAGTGTGCAGTCCCCAGAGCCAGTGTGCAGACCTCAGGGCCAGTGTGCATGCCGGTGTGCAGGCTCCAGAGCCAGTGTGCAGACCCCAGAGCCAGTGTGCAGACCCCAGAGCCAGTGTGCACACCAGTGTGCAGACCCCAGAGCCAGTGTGCAGACCCCAGAGCCAGTGTGCACACCAGTGTGCAGACCCCAGAGCCAGTGTGCAGACCCCAGAGCCAGTGTGCAGACCCCAGAGCCAGTGTGCAGACCCCAGGGCCATTGTGCACACCAGTGTGCAGATGCCAGAGCCAGTGTGCAGACCCCAGAGCCAGTGTGCACACCAGTGTGCAGGCTCCAGAGCCAGTGTGCAGACCCCAGGGCCAGTGTGCAGACCCCAGAGGCAGTGTGCAGACCCCAGAGCCAGTGTGCAGACCCCAGAGCCAGTGTGCAGAACCCAGGGCCAGTGTGCAGACCCGAGAGCCAGTGTGCATACCGGTGTGCAGGCTCCAGAGCCAGTGTGCGGACCCCAGAGCCAGTGTGCACACCAGTGTGCAGGCTCCAGAGCCAGTGTGCAGACCCCAGGGCCAGTGTGCAGACCCCAGAGCCAGTGTGCAGACCTCAGGGCCAGTGTGCATACCGGTGTGCAGGCTCCAGAGCCAGTGTGCAGTCCCTAGAGCCAGTGTGCAGACCTCAGGGCCAGTGTGCATACCGGTGTGCAGGCTCCAGAGCCAGTGTGCAGACCCCAGAGCCAGTGTGCATACCAGTGTGCAGGCTTCAGAGCCAGTGTGCAGACCCCAGAGCCAGTGTGCAGACCCCAGAGCCAGTGTGCAGACCCCAGGGCCATTGTGCACACCAGTGTGCAGATGCCAGAGCCAGTGTGCAGACCCCAGAGCCAGTGTGCACACCAGTGTGCAGGCTCCAGAGCCAGTGTGCAGACCCCAGAGCCAGTGTGCAGACCCCAGAGCCAGTGTGCACACCGATATGCAGGCTCCAGAGCCAGTGTGCAGACCCCAGAGCCAGTGTGCACACCGGTATGCAAGCTCCAGAGCCAGTGTGCAGACCCCAGGGCCAGTGTGCACACCGGTGTGCAGCTCCAGAGCCAGTGTGCAGACCCCAGAGCCAGTGTGCACACCGGTATGCAGGCTCCAGAGCCAGTGTGCAGACCCCAGGGCCAGTGTGCACACCGGTGTGCAGCTCCAGAGCCAGTGTGCAGACCCCAGAGCCAGTGTGCACACCGGTGTGCAGCTCCAGAGCCAATGTGCAGACCCCAGAGCCAGTGTGCACACCAGTGTGCAGACCCCAGAGCCAGTGTGCAGACCCCAGAGCCAGTGTGCACACCAGTGTGCAGACCCCAGAGCCAGTGTGCACACCCCAGAGCCAGTGTGCAGACCCCAGAGCCAGTGTGCACACCAGTGTGCAGGCTCCAGAGCCAGTGTGCAGACTCTAGAGCCAGTGTGCACACTGGTATGCAGGCCCCAGAGCCAGTGTGCAGATGCCAGAGCTAGTGTGCAGACGCCAGAGCCAGTGTGCAGACCCCAGAGCCAGTGTGCATACCGGTGTGCAGGCTCCAGAGCCAGTGTGCAGAATCTAGAGCCAGTGTGCACACTGGTATGCAGGCCCCAGAGCCAGTGTGCAGATGCCAGAGCTAGTGTGCAGACGCCAGAGCCAGTGTGCAGACCCCAGAGCCAGTGTGCATACCGGTGTGCAGGCTCCAGAGCCAATGTGCACACCAGTGTGCAGACCCCAGAGCCAGTGTGCAGACCCCAGAGCCAGTGTGCATACCGGTGTGCAGGCTCCAGAGCCAATGTGCACACCAGTGTGCAGACCCCAGAGCCAGTGTGCAGACCCCAGAGCCAGTGTGCATACTGGTGTGCAGGCTCCAGAGCCAATGTGCACACCAGTGTGCAGACCCCAGAGCCAGTGTGCAGACCCCAGAGCCAGTGTGCATACCGGTGTGCAGGCTCCAGAGCCAGTGTACAGACCCCAGAGCCAGTGTGCATACCAGTGTGCAGGCTTCAGAGCCAGTGTGCAGACCCCAGAGCCAGTGTGCACACTGGTGTGCAGACCCCAGAGCCAGTGTGCAGACCCCAGAGCCAGTGTGCACACCAGTGTGCAGGCTCCAGATCCAGTGTGCACACCGGTGTGCAGACCCCAGAGCCAGTGTGCAGACCCCAGAGCCAGTGTGCAGACCCCAGAGCCAGTGTGCACACCCCAGAGCCAGTGTGCAGATCCCAGGACCAGTGTGCACACCAGTGTGCAGTGTACAGACCCCAGGACCAGTGTGCACACCAGTGTGCAGGGTGCAGACCCCAGGGCCAGTGTGCATATCAATGTGCAGACCCCAGGGCCAGTGTGCATATCAATGTGCAGACCCCAGAGCCAGTGTGCACACTGGTGTGCACACCCCAGAGCCAGTGTGCAGATCCCAGGACCAGTGTGCACACCAGTGTACAGGCCCCAGGACCAGTGTGCACACCAGTGTGCAGTGTACAGGCCCCAGGACCAGTGTGCATACCAGTGTGCAGTGCACAGACCCCAGGACCAATGTGCACACCAGTGTGCAGGGTGCAGACCCCAGGGCCAGTGTGCATATCAGTGTGCAGACCCCAGGGCCAGTGTGCATACCAGTGTGCAGGGTGCAGACCCCAGGGCCAGTGTGCACACCAGTGTGCAGTGTGCAGACCCCAGAGCCAGTGTGCAGACCCCAGGACCAGTGTGCACACCAGTGTGCAGGGTGCAGACCCCAGAGCCAGTGTGCACATCAATGTGCAGACCCCAGGGCCAGTGTGCACATCAATGTGCAGACCCCAGGGCCAGTGTGCAGACCCCACGGCAGGTGTGCACATCCCACAACCAGGGTAGATCACCCCAGGCCAACCTCCATTTAACAGAAGGCAGACATTCAACATCCCACACACCATAGCCAGGCTGGAAGGCATTGGCTCTCTCCAGGGAAGACATTGCACTAGAGAAAATTAGGCGGAGTGGTAAATAAACAAGCGCACTTAGGAGAGCACCAGGGTGCTGCTCCGGCCGAGCCAGCGTTCCCCAGCCAGTCCAGGCAGCCTCACGCACAGAGGTCATCTGCTGTCCCGCACAGCAACACTCAGGACTCCAACTCACTCTACTCAGAGAACAACAAAGGACGATTTCCTAGCTGAAAGGAGATTTAAATTTCTCTTTTCAAAAGTAGTGTGTGGGGCTTGCGCTCCCTCCTGGCCGGAGGCTTTGGGGCGCTGGGCCTCCTGGGCACAGCTGCACTGCTCCCTGGCCGCCTGTGTGCACAGCTCACCGTGGGGTCCCCGGGAGGCCCTGGCTTCACTCAGCCCCGCTCGGCCGGCCGGCTCTCGCGCACACCTGCTTGGCAACATGCCCTGGCCCCCCACCCCCCCGCCTCCTGATCATGCCATCACAGACGTTTGTAGGATGTTGTGAACTGACCAGCCTCTGTGAACGTGACTGCATGTTCTTGTCTTCTCGCCCTCCGATTCTCCGTTTTAATGCTGGCTGTTTTCTCTGCCTCTCCTTGTCAAGTTCTTGCCATGCACGAAAATGTTCTCAAGTGTCCCACTCCGGGCTGCACGGGGCGCGGTCATGTGAATAGCAACAGGAACTCTCACAGAAGGTAAGCCACGCACGGCCGGGCTCCACGCGGGCAGCGACTGTCCACAGCCCCCTCCACGGAGCCGCCCTGCCACACGCCCCCCTCTCTCCCCGAGAGAAACCCCAAACTCCCAACAGCCCTGGCAGCGGCTTCCAAGGGACACGGTTGGGTCACACAGCACCAGAAAAGGTCCGTGTTCTGATGCTCTTCTTGTAGACGGGCTGTCTCTCTTGTCTTACCTACCCCATGCTGACGGGGCTCCACCCCTCATGCCGTGCCCTCCCCGTAGGACATCTGAGATGGGACCCCAGCCAAACACAGCACCAGCTAGCATGAGGCCAGCCTCTACCAGCCCCACACAGAGAGGAGGACCGCAGCCGCCGTGTGGCACGGCGAACCGTGTCACGGGACATTACCTCCTGCGGGCCCCAGGCCAGGAGCAGAGACATAGTTGGTGGTGTCCCAAACACGGTGACGGTTCTACCCAGCTGAGTAGCTTCTACCATGGCTGCGTGCTTTGGTGTAGGACATTCTAGCTCTCCTTTCCTATCCTTTTTGCATCTCGCTAGTGATATTGTTTCCATAGTATTCAGTTTATATCAGATACTTCTTTATTTCAGTAGCAGGAAAGAGACTTGGTTCACACTCATCCTGCCATCTGCGGGGTCTGTTTTTCATGCTCCTAAGAGACTATATCCAAATGTGGGAACTGTTCTCTTCGATTTCTGTTTGTGTGCCTGATAAACACGGTTACTTGTCCTCCATTTACATTGCACCCTGTGCCAGTCCACGCTTTTCCTGGTGCATTATCTGTAGGAGGACAAGGCAGAGACTGGAGAGGTCCCTTCTGGGCGGTTGTTCTGGGCTGCTCACACCTGGCAACGACGTGGGCATGGGGCTGCAGGCACCGGGCACGCCGCGCAGACGCCCTCATTCCGTGGGAGCAGCTCCAACACACTCCCATCAGCCTCCCCTTCCTTATTAACCCCAAGGAAGTGCACTGGAGCACAGCCCTGCAAACAGTTCTCTCCGCAGTTCTGTTTTCTTTCTTGAAAGAGCACCAAGGCCGGTGACACTGCCGCTCAGGGCCAGCCTGGGCTCCGTCTCCTGGCCCAACCCATTAGTTGCCTCTCTCAGAAGAGAAGCTCATCTTCCAGGAGACATTGCTGCCTCTTCTCCAGAAGAGGGGAATGTTCCAGAACAGAGCCTCTGGGTTGCAACTGGCCCACGGCCTCTTACAACACGGGACCGGCCGTCCCTGGAGAGGGTCACACCCTCCGACCCTGCGGCCCTCCCTGCGGCCCTCCGTGCTAGGTCATTTCCAACCACTTCCCTTGGTCGCGGCTGCCCACAGTGGGTTGGGGCCTACCCCACTCCCAGGCCCCGCCCCCGGCTCCTCGTGGCTGAGGGAGAGGAAGTGGCAGTTAGATCAGCATATTGTGCAGCCATCGGAGACAGGACGACTAACCCGATTTCTGTCCTTGCAGCCTCTCTGGATGCCCTATTGCTGCGGCAGAGAAATTGGCCAAGGCCCAGGAAAAGCACCAGAGCTGTGAGGTGTCCAAGTCCAACCAGGCCTCGGACCGCGTCCTCAGGTACCCGACGGGAGCGCGCGGGTGTGGGGCCGCCGGGGCCGTGCCCAGGGTGTGTTCCATGGGGCGGACACGCATGCCGGGCCACGGGGGAAGGGGGGCCAGGCCGGAAGCCTGAGTGTCCCCCCACCCCGCGCATGAGCAACGTCTCGGGTCCCTGGAGGACAGCCCGCTCCCGTCCCTGTGGGCCCAGCCCCACGGTTACCGGGGTCTCGGGTCCTCTCGGAACCTGACCCTCCCTAGTGCTCTGAAGGCTGATGAAGGGAGCTAGGGCATGAACACAGTGCCCGAGGTGACGGCGTCTGGATCTGGGGCGGGAGCTTGGTGCCAACCGCAGGACCCTGTTTCTGAGCATGCGAGAGCCAAGTGCGCCTGGCATGCATGTGAGCTTCGTGAGACCATCAAAGCCGTGGTCTCCGTTTACCCTCAGACGCCCAGGGGCACAGGGAAGGGGCGGAACCACTGCATCTGACACGCGAAGAAAGACACTCGGAGTGCAGAGACTGGGAGAGACCCAGGGCAGGGGCTGCACCCCTGTTCTGTCAGGGAGAGGAAGCACAGCTATCTCCTTGAGCTGAGGAGGAAGCCTCACCTCACAGCCTCCATGTGGAATTCACACCCTCCACCATGTGAAACCTTGACAGTCATTAGCCCAGAGCACAGAGCACCACACAGCACACAGCACCACACAGCACACAGCACCACACAGCACACAGCACCACACAGCACCACACAGCACACAGCACACAGCACCACACAGCACACAGCACACAGCACCACACAGCACACAGCACCACACAGCACACAGCACACAGCACACAGCACCACACAGCACACAGCACCACACAGCACACAGCACCACACAGCACACAGCACCACACAGCACCACACAGCACACAGCACCACACAGCACACAGCACCACACAGCACACAGCACCACACAGCACACAGCACACAGCACCACACAGCACACAGCACCACACAGCACACAGCACACAGCACCACACAGCACACAGCACCACACAGCACACAGCACCACACAGCACACAGCACACAGCACCACACAGCACACAGCACACAGCACACAGCACCACACAGCACACAGCACACATCACCACACAGCACACAGCACCACACAGCACACAGCACACAGCACACAGCACCACACAACACACAGCACACAGCACACAGCACCACACAGCACACAGCACCACACAGCACACAGCACCACACAGCACACAGCACCACATACCACACAGCACACAGCACCACACAGCACACAGCACCACACAGCACACAGCACCACACAGCACACAGCACACAGCACCACACAGCACACAGCACACAGCACAGAGCACCACACAGCACACAGCACACATCACCACACAGCACACAGCACCACACAGCACACAGCACACAGCACACAGCACCACACAGCACACAGCACACAGCACACAGCACCACACAGCACACAGCACCACACAGCACACAGCACACAGCACCACACAGCACACAGCACCACACAGCACACAGCACCACATACCACACAGCACACAGCACCACACAGCACACAGCACCACACAGCACACAGCACACAGCACCACACAGCACACAGCACCACACAGCACACAGCACACAGCACACAGCACACAGCACCACACAGCACACAGCACCACACAGCACACAGCACACAGTACCACACAGCACACAGCACCACACAGCACACAGCACACAGCACACAGCACACAGCACCACACAGCACACAGCACACAGCACACAGCACCACACAGCACACAGCACCACACAGCACACAGCACACAGCACCACACAGCACACAGCACCACACAGCACACAGCACACAGCACCACACAGCACATAGCACACAGCACCACACAGCACACAGCACACAGCACACAGCACAGAGCACCACACAGCACAGAGCACCACACAGCACACAGCACCACACAGCACATAGCACACAGCACCACACAGCACACAGCACACAGCACACAGCACAGAGCACCACACAGCACAGAGCACCACACAGCACACAGCACCACACAGCACACAGAACAGAGCACCACAAACTACAGAGCACCACACAGCACACAGCACCACACAGCACACAGCACAGAGCACCACACAGCACACAGCACACAGCACACAGCACACAGCACACAGCACCACACACCACACAGCACACAGCACACAGCACCACACACCACACAGCACACAGCACACAGCACACAGCACACAGCACCACACACCACACACCACACACCACACACCACACACCACACACCACACAGCACACAGCACACAGCACAGAGCTCCAGGGCTGACTCCCCCTCTCCCCACCCACAGTAGTCATGGGCAACATGAGGACCCCTCCTACCCTAAGACACGGACAGCGATGCAGACAGAGCAGCCATGCCAAGGGCATGTTAGAGAACAGGGGAAGGAAATTTGTACCTGAAGGGATTATTAATTTCCCTCTGCCTGCTTTGGTCAGACCCCTAAGGCTAGAAAGCACCCTGTGCCTGCCCTTCCTGAAGCCCCACACAGGGTGTCTTCAGACAGCCGCTGAGGTTGGGCTGCAGTGGCCAGCCAGGTGTGTTGGGATTGTAGGCCACCTCTTCAAACCCAGGCCTTGGTTGTGATACCCGGGCCCGGGGCCCTGGCTGAGGGCTGGGAAGCTGTATTGCTGCAACCAGAAGGCCATGGACTGGCCAGTGTGACGGACCAGCCATCTTCCTACGAGCCTCTGGCTGGCATGAGTGCCAGCTGGGGACAGAGTCTAGAACAGAAAGAAGGCTCAGTCCAGTTGATCTGGACAAGCCAAGAGCCAGCACGGGCCATAGGTACTGTCCACCACCCCAGCCCCAGCCCAGCCCCAGCCTAGCCCCAGCCCCAGCCCCAGCCCAGCCCAGCCCCAGCCTAGCCCCAGCCTAGCCCCAGCCTAGCCCCAGCCAGCCCAGCCCAACCCAGCCCAGCCCAGCCCAGCCCAACCCAGCCCAGCCCACCAGCCCCAGCCTAGCCCCAGCCCAGCCCCAGCCCAGCCCCAGCCCAGCCCACAAGCCCCAGCCCAGCCCAGCCCCAGCCCCAGCCCCAGCCCAGCCCAGCCCCAGCCCCAGCCCAGCCCAGCCCCAGCCAGCCCAGCCCAACCCAGCCCAGCCCAGCCCAGCCCAGCCCAGGCCCAGCCCAGCCCAGGCCCAGCCCAGGCCCAGCCCAGCCCCAGCCAGCCCAGGCCCAGCCCCGGCCCAGCCCAGCCCCAGCCAGCCCAGGCCCAGCCCAGCCCCAGCCAGCCCAGGCCCAGCCCAGCCCAGCCTCAGCCCAGCCCAGGCCCAGCCCAGCCCAGCCCAGCCCAGCCCAGCCCAGCCTCAGCCCAGCCCAGCCTCAGCCCAGCCCAGGCCCAGCCCAGCCCAGCCCAGCCCAGCCCAGCCTCAGCCCAGCCCAGGCCCAGCCCAGCCCCAGCCCAGCCCAGCCTCAGCCCAGCCCAGGCCCAGCCCAGCCCAGCCCAGCCCAGCCCAGCCCAGGCCCAGCCCAGGCCAGCCCAAGCCCAGCCCTGGCCCAGCCCAGCCCTGGCCCAGCCCCAGCCCAGGCCCAGCCCTGGCCCAGCCCAGCCCTAGCCCAGGCCGTGGGAGCTGCCCACTGCCCAGCCTTGCCTCAACCCTCTGGAGATGCATGGCGTTCACTCTAGGGCTCCTGCAAGCCCTCCAACTCCACAGGCCTTGCCCAAGGTGCCCATGTGAGCCCCAGCTGGCCAGGATCTGTCCAGCACTGTATTCCCACATCTCCATATGGACAGGAAGGAACGGGGAAGTAGTCTGTATCTATTGTCATTTAAGTGATTGAAGTGGGTTTGTTTTTAAGTCTTCAGGTAAGTTCTCCATCAGACTTGGAAGCGCTTCCTCTCTCATGGGACTCCAACTCTACCTCCTGCACCCCACACGCAGTCTCCCATGACCCCCCTTCCCCGGGCCTGCCCACCCGCCTCCACCCCTCTTGTTGGATGCTAAGCTTTCCCGGGCTTAGAGATGACAGTTCTGCCACCAGCCCTCCAGCCTGACCCACAGGAGAATGCGCATTGCAGCCCCGAGCTGGGCCCTGGGTCTCTCCCGGAATGCCCTGGAATGCGTTTACCCTCTCCACCTCCTCACCTTGAGGTTCCACAGGGTTTGGTGTCTTTTTTCTAGACTTCTCTCTTGCCCCTAACCTCAATGTGAACTGTGCTGCAGTATCTCCTTCCGATCCTTCTCATCATGACCCAGCTGCACCCAGCCTGGCCTGCCCACCTCAAGTCCCCTGCACTCAACACAGTCTGAGATCTCGCGTGACGTTGTCCTGCAAAGGCTGGCCTGCTGCTCCTGCCAGCCTCCACACGGCCACGCAGAAGGCCCCCAAGCAGACAACCAATTGTCATCGTTCTGTTTCTTCCACAAGAGGAAAATAAGAAAGAGGAGGGAGATCAGAATACACAGGTTGACATTTGGGTATTTTATCACACTGTCCTCTAAACAGCAGAGACAGCCATGGTCCCCCATTGAAAATGCAGTTATCACAATGTTGCAGCTACTCTAAACCAACGTTAATTTCTAAGAAAGAGAAGAAAGAGGTTTATGTATGGATGCATATTAAGTAAGTCACAGTCGTGGCACAATTTGTAATTGTAATAATCAAAGATGGAAAACATTTGAGTAGTGCTGCACTCATTGGTTCTAATGCCCTACAGTTGCTAAGAACTGATGTTAAAGCCAAGCAACTCAAAGGAAAATTAGAGGACAGGCAAAACAAAGTGTAAAATACGTAAAAATCTTACATCTAAGGTGTTTAAGGAAATACAATAATCATATCTAGTTAAATAAATACTAAAACAACCAGGAAAATACACCAAAATCTTAACCATTTTTCATCTCTGAAAGAATTATAGGTGATTGTTCTAAAAGTTTGTATTTCCTAAACATTTTTCAGTGAATCACTTAATGCATTCATAATTATAAAACCCAACGCAGAGGTTTTAACGTTTTTAATCCCTAAAATAAGCCCAGATGCTCTCTCTGTTTGAACATGCATGTGGTTGAGAAAGAGGATTCGTTTGTCAGACAGACAGCCACGCCCAACGGAACATAAACCAGGATGGGAGCAGGCCAGACCCCAGGCACAGGCAGGATGTCCCTTGGATTCCTGCTTGCCCTGTTGACCTTTGCACCTGCCGTGTCCTAATCCGAGGGTGTGCTTGAGGTGCAGGCAGAACTCCTCCCCACTGGTGGAGGAGAGGACCCACTGGGAACATTGTCCCTCCCACAATGACTCACCATGGTCTTCTGTGCTCCTACTGAGACACCTGCCTTTCTTGGGTCTTCGTTTGTTAAACATGTTGTATAAACTCACAAGTGAAGGGATCACCAGGAACCAGTGTCTTGAATTTTCTGTGGTACTTGCACAGCAAAACCTGCACGTAAGCCTTTATGTATTTTGTAATTATATGCCTTAACACCAGGTGTTAAAAGGCTAAGCAGATTATAGATATCCCATGTGTAAACACATGTCTATATCAGCAAAACAGAAGTTGGAGGAAGAACCAAATGTAAAAAGACATTCCAAGTGAGACGTTCAAGAATTCACTCCCAAGCCTGCTATCCACCCAGACGGGAACGCACAAAACAAGACACCAGTGGGCAGATTCCTGAGGTCTTCCTCCCCGCAAGAGTTTACCCCAAAGGCTCAGATGGTACCTGCTAGTCAGTAGCTGAAAAATAAGAACATGTTATAGAAGCACATAGCCAAATGGTTTACCGCGTGTTCGCGTGGTTTCCTCTCAGCCGATCCCCCTGGGAATGCTTCTTTATTTCTTCTTGATTTCCCGGACGTTTTCCTCTCCCCACAAAGACCAAGTCTGTATGTCAGCTTCCCCTCCTCCGCATAGCACAGGACTGCCTCCTGCACAGCGGGCCGCAGAGGAGAAAGAGAAAAGGAGCCAGCGCCCATTGCTTTCCCTCTGGGCCCTTTTACCCCGGTGTTACTTGCAGGTAACACTTTGCAAGCTTTGTCCTTTCCGCGGGAAATGAAGTTGCCGTGTCCTTGCTGTGTGGGAATTCAGACGCAGGAGTCCTGTGTGCACAGCTGTCCGCATGCCCGTGAGAAAACTAGCTCCCTTTTGTTGTCTCCTTCATTTCCAGGCCCATGTGCTTTGTGAAGCAGCTGGAGATTCCTCAGTATGGCTACAGAAACAATGTCCCCACCACCACGCCCCGCTCCAACCTGGCCAAGGAGCTCGAGAAATACTCCAAGACGTCATTTGAATACAACAGCTACGACAACCATACGTACGGCAAGCGGGCCATAGCTCCCAAGGTGCAAACCAGGGACATATCCCCCAGAGGATGCGATGATGGTAGGAGGTGCACACTCTTCTACATGGGAGATGCGTCGCCATGCTGATGTTGTTGTTGTGTGTGCCCATGTCCCGCCCCCAGCACCAGGGGGCGCTCAGCGGGTGGCAGAGGCGCGCTGGGCCAGCCCGAGGCCGCGCGTGGCAGGGCTGGCAAGGCTGTGGTTGGAAGGAGGATGTTTTCCACAGTGACTCCACAGCAGTGTGCCCTGGTTGGCTGTGGAAGTGGAAGGGGAAACCAAGGGCCCTTCTGTGTGAGAGAGTGCCCTTCAGATGGAAGCCCGGACAAGCACCAGGGAGGACCCAGGACAAGTACCAGGGAGGACCCAGGACAAGTACCAAGGAGGACCTAGGACAAGTACCAGGGAAGACCCAGGACAAGCACCAGGGAGGACCCAGGACAAGTACCAGGGAGGACCTAGGACAAGTACCAGTTAGAACCTAGGACAAGTATCAAGGAAGGCCTAGCACAAGTGCCAGAGAAGACCCAGAACAAGTACCAGGGAGGGCTCAGGACAAGTACCAGGGAGGACCCAGGACAAGTACCAGGGAGAGCTCGGGACAAGTACCAGGCAGGACCCAGGACAAGTACCAGGCAGGACCCAGGACAAGTACCAGGGAGAGCTCGGGACAAGTACCAGGCAGGACCCAGGATAAGTACCAGGCAGGACCTAAGACAAGCACCAGGGAGGACCAGTTTGTTCTGCGTCTCATGGATGCTCTCTGTTCTGGGTATGCATTTAAGTTATGTCAGGAGATGGCTTTCTCACATTCCTGTGCCCAGTCTGTGCCTCAGAACAATTGCTCTGGGATAGCTGGAAACTCCCAGGGCAACTTTCTAGAAAGATTCCCAGGTGACCAATAAGCAGCCTCCGCTGGTGCCCTCCACCTGGCCAGAGCCTGCCAAGCCAGGGCCTATGTCCGGGCTCATTCTCTATCTGAAAGACGGGCTGGAGGAAGGCAGCCTCTGTGCACACAGCCCAGCCCTGAGCTCCCAGCCACCTGCTGACCTCCGCACACTGGGGTCACAAATGGCAGCAGCCTGAAGGTCATTTGAAAGTCACCTTGGCGCCCTCCAGCAGAGGGAGGGAGTTAGTTGTGAAAGTTTTAGAATTCCCTTCTGAAAAAGGTATTTTATCAAAATCACAAACCCACAGGAAAACATATGTAAATGGATGTTTATAGCATTCTGAAACCGTTTTTCAATTCAGCAGAAGTTGCTGCACACCTTTCTTAGCTATGTTATGTCTTACAATGATAAGAATGTATATGATGAGTAAAATTCAATAATTCTTTGAAATACCACATCAATTATCCTTGCGCGTCAATCTTTTAAAATTCAGAAACAGATATACGTGGGGGAAAGGAGTGGCTGTGTATAATAGAAATAATTACTTGTGTTTTGTTGTTTGCTTGGTAATAATTAATTGCCAATTTCAGATCTTCTTGCTATAATTGCATTCCTTCCATTGCAAGAGAAGGATCAAAAAGAAATTGCATTTATATAATTGAAGATTCTGTTAGTATAATCTCCAATCCATTGATGTCTTTCAATTAGTTCTTCTACTAGGTGTTCATTTTTAGAAACCTGCGTTGTGGTTACTCTGCATGGCCTGCTGTCCGGGCCTCATCGCCATGGTTGGTCTCTAGGTTTAGCATGAAGAGGGCTTCTGGGCAGAGGACGCCAGAGGAGAGCATGGGGGGCCACACCGATGAGGGCAAGTCTGTCAGTCCTGCTCAGCCCTGCTGTGTGGAAGCTTCCCGATGCCTGAATGGATCTTCTCCATCCCCTCATGGCCAGGGAAATGCCGAGAGCTTCCCAGCAGGGCTTTGTGAAGGTTGATGGTGGTGAGGCCATGTGTAGATTCTCTGCCAACTGCAAAGCAAGAGACATATGATACCATCTATCCCAGCACGCCCTCACCCACACAGCTTCTGCCTGGGAAACTCGGGCTGCACCATGTTTCCCTTGATCCACCAGAAAACAAACACCATTGCTAATGCGCAACTCTACCTCCGCCCGAGATCTCCAAGACCCAGAGCAAAGACGGGCTGCACCTTACCCCAGCCTGCCAAGAAAACACACACACAACTCAAGTCTTACTGCATTCTGCTGGTCTGACAGACTTTAGAGAGACCCAGGAAGGGCAGCAGAGGACAGGACTGAGGGCAGGACTGAGGACAGGACAGGACTGAGGACAGGACTGAGGGCAGGACTGAGGACAGGACAGGACTGAGGGCAGGACTGAGGACAGGACTGAGGACAGGACAGGACTGAAGGCAGGACTGAGGACAGGACAGGACTGAGGACAGGACTGAGGACAGGACTGAGGACAGAACAGGACTGAGGACAGGACTGAGGACAGGACTAAGGGCAGGACTGAGGACAGGACAGGACTAAGGACAGGACTGAGGACAGGACTGAGGGCAGGACTGAGGACAGGACAGAGGACAGGACTGAGGACAGGACAGGACTGAGGACAGGACTGAGGGCAGGACTGAGGGCAGGACTGAGGACAGGACAGGACTGAGGACAGGACTGAGGACAGGACTGAGGACAGGACTGAGGACAGGACAGAACTGAGGACAGGACTGAGGGCAGGACTGAGGACAGGACTGAGGATAGGACTGAGGACAGGACTGAGGACAGGACTGAGGACAGGACTGAGGGCAGGACTGAGGGCAGGACTGAGGACAGGACAGGACTGAGGACAGGACTGAGGACAGGACTGAGGACAGGACTGAGGACAGGACTGAGGGCAGGACTGAGGACAGGACTGAGGACAGGACTGAGGACAGGACTGAGGGCAGGACAGGACTGAGGACAGGACTGAGGACAGGACTGAGGACAGGACAGGACTGAGGACAGGACTGAGGGCAGGACTGAGGACAGGACTGAAGACAGGACTGAGGACAGGACAGGACTGAGGGCAGGACTGAGGGCAGGACTGAGGGCAGGACTGAGGACAGGACTGAGGACAGGACTGAGGATAGGACTGAGGACAGGACTGAGGACAGGACTGAGGTCAGGACTGAGGGCAGGACTGAGGACAGGACAGGACTGAGGACAGGACTGAGGACAGGACTGAGGACAGGACAGGACTGAGGACAGGACTGAGGACAGGACTGAGGGCAGGACTGAGGGCAGGACTGAGGACAGGACAGGACTGAGGACAGGACTGAGGACAGGACAGGACTGAGGGCAGGACTGAGGGCAGGACTGAGGACAGGACAGGACTGAGGACAGGACTGAGGGCAGGACTGAGGGCAGGACTGAGGGCAGGACTGAGGACAGGACTGAGGACAGGACAGGACTAAGGACAGGACTGAGGGCAGGACTGAGGGCAGGACTGAGGACAGGACTGAGGGCAGGACTGAGGGCAGGACTGAGGACAGGACAGGACTAAGGACAGGACTGAGGGCAGGACTGAGGGCAGGACTGAGGACAGGACTGAGGACAGGACAGGACTGAGGACATGACTGAGGACAGGACAGAACTGAGGACAGGACTGAGGGCAGGACTGAGGACAGGACTGAGGATAGGACTGAGGACAGGACTGAGGACAGGACTGAGGACAGGACTGAGGACAGGACTGAGGGCAGGACTGAGGGCAGGACTGAGGACAGGACTGAGGGCAGGACTGAGGACAGGACAGGACTGAGGACAGGACTGAGGACAGGACTGAGGGCTGGACTGAGGACAGGACAGGACTGAGGGCAGGACTGAGGACAGGACTGAGGGCAGGACTGAGGACAGGACAGGACTGAGGGCAGGACTGAGGACAGGACAGGACTGAGGACAGGACAGGACTGAGGACAGGACAGGACTGAGGACAGGACTGAGGGCAGGACTGAGGGCAGGACTGAGGACAGGACTGAGGACAGGACTGAGGGCAGGACTGAGGACAGGACTGAGGACAGGACAGGACTGAGGACAGGACTGAGGGCAGGACTGAGGGCAGGACTAAGGACAGGACTGAGGATAGGACTGAGGACAGGACAGGACTGAGGACAGGACTGAGGACAGGACAGGACTGAGGGCAGGACTGAGGACAGGACTGAGGGCAGGACTGAGGACAGGACAGGACTGAGGACAGGACAGGACTGAGGACAGGACAGGACTGAGGGCAGGACTGAGGACAGGACTGAGGACAGGACTGAGGTCAGGACTGAGGGCAGGACTGAGGACAGGACTGAGGACAGGACTGAGGGCAGGACTGAGGGCAGGACTGAGGGCAGGACAGGACTGAGGACAGGACAGGACTGAGGACAGGACAGGACTGAGGGCAGGACTGAGGACAGGACAGAGGACAGGACTGAGGACAGGACTGAGGACAGGACAGGACTGAGGACAGGACAGGACTGAGGACAGGACTGAGGACAGGACTGAGGGCAGGACTGAGGACAGGACTGAGGACAGGACAGGACTGAGGACAGGACTGAGGACAGGACCCAACTGAGGACGGGACTGACGGCAGGTCAGAGGTCAGGATGAGGACAGGACTGCAGGCCTGGCTGTGGCCCAAGGGAGCGGTCTTTGTTACCGGCACCACTGGTCATGGCAGAACTTCCGATGTCTCCCTCAAGCCTCCCTTCGGTGCAGAAGAAAAGAACCCTCTGCTCCTTGAAGAAACCGAAGGCTGAACCTGCCTCAGAAAACCTCATTCTTAGGGGGACAGGCAGGCCATGGAGACAGAATGGAGGAGAGAAGTGGGCGGCCTGAGCATCATCTCCTAAACCTCCCAGGCTGTAGGATCAAAGCCAGCCTCCTTCCTGATGAGCGAAGGCTCCTCCAGCCGTCTGCCTTTGTAGACATGGCTGAGATTGCAGTGTCTGCCCACATGTCAGTCTGTCAGAAGCCCTCACCTGCACAGAGAGCGTGTATCAAGCCCAGGCCCAGAGCTGCAGGGCCCCTATGCCAGACGGAGGAAGAGGATGCACCCCACCAAGGGGACGGTGGGAGGCTGTCCTGAGACGGATGGACTATGTGGGGGCAGGGGCCT